AGCAGGAATTTCTCTGCATTTATTCAGGCAGCACCAGTTACTCCAGTACAAGGAGGACAGAGCAAAGAATGATGCCTGTTGGGTTGATTCAGCGAGGTCACAGAAAGAAGGACATTTCTGGCTAGTACTTAACATCCTGGTTTTTTCCTTAGCTTTTGGCACTGTATAAACAAGAACATTTTCCTTATCAGTTGTATTATACTATGTCAGTTAAATGTAAAATCTAAATATTTTCACATTGGCCTTTTTTGATTTACATTATGTTTAGGCAATAAGACTTGGGGAATTATTTGTTTAGGGCTAGTGCAAAACCTCATACCTGTTGTTATGTAAATCAGGCAAACAAAAAATAATAAAAAATTCAGAGACATACATTCTGCAGTCTTGTTCACTGGATTTTCTATTCAGTTGTGTCTTCTGGGGGAGTCTGGGGAAGCCAATTGCTTATCACAGGAACTGCAGGTTGCTGTAAGCCTCAACCTGTCAGTTAGCTGGAGGAGGGAGATTGTAGGAACCTGTCAAAAGAGCTTATGTTAATGCTGTAAAGTGACTCTTCTGAATATTTGCTCACAGTAACGGATCAAGCCTTTGTGACCCTTGCTACCGATGATGTGTACTGTCAAGGCGCTCTGGTTCTTGGACAGTCATTGAGGAACCATACAACGTCTAGAAAATTGGCAGTACTAATTACATCACAGGTTTCCAGTGGGATGAGGTAAGGATTCACGTATTTTTGGAGGTTGATAATGTGGAAGAATAAGCAACAGTGTGAATTATTTTAATAGACTTCCTGTTGATTTCACAGCATTATGGCTAGAAGTTTCCCCTTGGCTAGAAATTTCTGAGAAGAGTCCCAAATAACATCCATGATAAGGTCATAAGCCTAATAAAATTCACTTGCAAAAGCAGAGCTTGTGGCTGGAAGTTGTCTTGAGCCTGTAGTTGGGAACAGAAGCTGGAAGTTTGGGAACTAAGGTTTAGTGTCGTGCTTTTGAGCCAAAATAAAGGCACTGCTGTTTTTTTCCCTAAGTGTTTCTCTTTTAGAACGAGCAAGATACGTAACCACCTGTGACATCAGAACTCTCCAAAAAACTTAGGGACTCAGACGTTTCAGATGGCTAATCTTCTTAAAATATTGGTGCGTGGCTATCATGATGAGAAATTAATTTATTTTCTTTTTTTTTAATCACTTCCCAGTTTGGGTTGTGATTCTGCAGGCACTACAGAATTGCATGTACAGAAATCTTGTTAAATCTGTTGAACTCAAGCCCTGTTATTTGGAAGTGTGTGGTGTTTGTTAAAAGGAACATGAGATGCCACAGCTACTTAAACTCTTAGTTCTGCTATGGCTTAGGAAGTGTGCAAGCTCCTGATTTCTGTACGCCATGTGAGTGTATTTGCAATGTATCTGGACCAAGAAACATATTTTCCCATTTTTTTTCTGTGATTGAATGTGCAGAAATATGTTTTTACAGGCTTTTTAAAGTATGGATTTTGTCAGAATGCTCTAACCTTCCTGAGGGAATACTGTATATGTGTGACACCTGGGTGAATACTGAGTCCATCAGTTTTTTCATCCCCATTCAATGGGGGGAAAAAACCTTTATAACATATTTTTTAATCAAGGATAGCATTTTAAAAAAAGCACGTCACTGAACTATGTTTCTGAAAAACTGTACCTACTCTTAGTTCTTTCCCAGTTAACTCCTGTCCCTTGAAGATCAGTCAGGCAAAAGCCAATAACTCTGAAATCTGGATAATCAGCACAGGCTTTTCTTTTTCTGAGTTTGCATGACATCCAGGACTTAATAGTGTAATGTAAATAAATAAGCTGTGTTTAAAAGGATTACCTACTTTGGTATGACCTATAAAATTCCCATGAAAGACATGCATAGAAAAAAAATGTCTTCCTAAAAGTCGAATTTGAGACAATTCATAGTTGTGAACAAGTATATATTGCCTGTTTTAAAAGGTGCAGTTTTGAAGCTGCATTTACTTGGGCATAATAAGCGCAAATAACTGTGCTGGCAGTGCAGGCACATCCTGTGCAGTGCCCAGGGAATGCAGTGTGTGCTGTGCTTAACAGTCAGTTGTGCAGGATGAAAGCTGCTTTCATTTCTGTGGGTGTTTCTGTAGGAGATGAAGTATCTAAAGTAGGGACTGGTTTCTCTTCCACACAGCGCCTGTCACTTTTTGAGGTTTGCCAGCGCCGTAGTGGAAGAGGCGGTAGTTTACGGCCTGATCACTGCCACTGTTTACAAGGACTTTTCACTTTTGACTTCTTATGCTAGCCAATCAATCTAGCCTTTGTTAGTGTCATAAAAAATGTCATGCTTCTGTGTGTCACTGTTTCCATGCCAGGATTGAACTCTAATGAACCTCTCTAAACTCCCTTCTTGCTCTCCACTGCTTGCTCTGGTAGGTCTGTCCTTCGCAGTGTGTTTGACGAAGTCATCGAGGTGGATGCACTTGACAGTTCTGACTCACTCCGTTTGGCTCTGATGCGGAGGCCAGAACTGGGCGTAACCTTCACTAAGCTTCACTGTTGGACTCTGACTCATTATAGCAAATGTGTCTTCATGGATGCAGACACTTTGGTGAGTAGAGCAGGAGCCGTGGAAACGTTTGTGCCTGTCGCGAAGAGCTGCTCTGAGCGGGGGAGGCTTCCTGGTCAGGCAGCCTATGGGGCCTATGAAGTGATCAGATTTGCTGGTGGTCATATAATCATAGAATGTTAGAGGTTGGAAGGGACCTCTG